CGTGGACAGTGCAATGGTTGTGGATGGGGTGGTCATGCCCAGAATGGACATGGAATCAGCAATGGTCGTGACCGCGGTGATGGCGGAAAGGGCGGTGGTAGCCATGGCGGCATTGGTGGTGTTGAGCGTGGTCGCGGGAGTGACTAGAACCTCAGCGCGCGCGAAGCGCGCGCGTGGTTCTAGTATATATATATATATATATGTACACACACACACCCCAGCAGGGCACCCTAACAGCGAGACAGAAGAGGCGGGTCGAGGAGTAGGAGAAGCGCGGCCGGAAAGACCTGAGAAAGAGAAAGATGCAGCAGCTAGGACAGGGGTGAGAGAACAGCCATGCACACCATAGTGTATTTGTTTCAAGGGATCGTGGCCATCCAGGCCAAAAATGAAGCCGGCATTGAGGCGAGAGCACGATTCCTGAATACATCGCGAAGAAATCTCAGGCGAAACGGCTGCTGGACCAGACGGTCTTCGGCTCACCCTCCCTTTTGTGGGGCCCTTCCGTGTTTTGTTCACTTGTATTGAAACCCTCTAGCGAGAGGCCATTCGGGAATCACATCGTCGGATGTCTGGAGTTCGAGGTTCGATGGATCAGGTTCGAGGTTCACCGTGTGCGCCTCCTTCGAGTGTCTCTCGTCGCGCACGGTCCGCCTCGAGATCCTGGCCATGGCGCGCGACATAGCGGGTCATGCGGTGATTTCTGACAGAGAGGAGGAGGAGGAGGAGGAGGAGGAGGAGGAGGAGGAGGAGGAGGAGGAGGAGGAGGAGGAGGAGGAGGAGGAGGAGGAGAAGGAGGAGGAGGAGGAGGAGGAGGAGGAGGAGGAGGAGGAGGAGGAGGAGGAGGAGGAGGAGGAGGAGGGAGGGAGGAGGAGGGAGGAGGAGGAGGAGGAGGCAAAAGAGGAGAGAGAGGGGGGCGGAGGAGGAAACTGACCTCGACGAGGAGGGCGGAGTTGGGGGAAGTAAGCTGCGACAGAAACTGCGACCCCCCTTTCTCCGTGTTGTCGCTGCCTTCTACATTACATCTGCCCTTCCAGCTGGCGGCTCCTGGCGCGAATGCTCCAGGAGTCGCCAGGCCTTCAGTTTGATCCCTGGGGGGGATGGCCAATTCAGGACGACGTGCTTGCTATCGGTGGGCCAGTGGATCAGGAGGAGGAGGAAGAGATGCTCAGGCAGGAGAACGGGGACCACCTGGGCATCCGACCTGAGGCATACCGCAGCAAGATCGGGCGATCGTTGCCGGTGGTATTCCAGGCTGGCGTGGTGACGCACTTGTGTGTTCCGTGTGATCTTGCGCAGTTATACTAGCTGGGCTGGTTTGTTCGCGCTGGTGTGATCCGTGTTGGCGTGCTTCCGCATCGCCCCCTGCCTGCCCCAGTCCAGAAAGCCACACTGCGATTATGGGTTTGTGCAACACGGCTGCACATCCAGGTCGGTGCGTCCGCCGATAGAGCTCGAGGTTGTGCCAGGGACAAAGCAATCCCAATGTCGACCTTTTCCTTGAGGGCAACCATTGTTTGTGACGTTGCAGCACAAAGCGCCGAGGCTGCATATGACAGTGAAGCCGCTTTCCTGTGATCCGTGAGGCCACCAATGCAACGTTCACATGGCAGCGAGAATCCATAGCGGCCTTACGAGCACGCTCATGGTGACGCCATCGAGCCAATGAGAAACCGTTGCAGCTAACCGACTACGAACGCTCTGCGGGCGACAACGATGGTGGGCATTGGCTGGATTCGAAAAGCGTTTGTGATACTTCATACATTATAGCTACGAAACATATCTAATATTACAAAATTATTGAGTGGCGCCCCCAAAGAACCGAGACTAGCATCAAACCCCTTGATGAGGTCACTAAGTGTTCAGCCCCAAACATCCGACGAGCAAGCTGAGCCACACACACACACACACACATACGCTAGGGTTGCCGCCCCCCTAATCTTGCCCTAGGCCACAAGGGATTACGAACTCTTCCGTCTTCCCTCCCTACCTCCATGCCTCCCTCCTGGTCCTCCGTTCAATTCCCGTCATCATCATGTACCGTCATCATGTAGCATTATCAGCATCATCCACATCATCAACCCCATCAGCATCATCATCATCATCATCAGCATCATCATCGTCATTGTCATACAGTGAGGTTCCCGAGATAAGGTCCAACTCGTGTTCGGAAGGGGCTCGGTGGTTCCTCGTGTCTGCTGGCGTTCCCTCGCCATTGCGCCACGAAGCCCCCTCGGCGTTCCTTGGGTTATGGCGCGCGCGCAATCGATTCGCCGAACGGGGCGGATGATCTAAGGAACAGGGCCCTGAATAGGGGCTGGGTTCCTTGCACCGCTGCGAAGATAATGTGCCGCGGGTTCGTTCGGGCCGTTCCTTGCGGCGCGCGTTTTGAGGTTTTCGTGTATAACAATATATAAAAGTGGTCGCGTTAGGGCCCAGTTCCTCGCGCAAGCCCTTCGGTTCCTTGCGCGACGTGGTTTGAGGTTCACGCTTGCGCCAA